CTGGTCTGGTGTGAAGGAGCAGATCTGGGTCTGTGCTGCCTTCCAGAGATCACAGAGCTTTAGGTGTTTGTACAGGATGTATTACACCACAGGGTAAGGCTGCTTCCTTGTATCCTGCTCCAGAGCCTTGGAAGCAGATGTGCGGGGAGGTAGCAGAGAGCTCTATGATGGCCTTGTGTTGAGGACATGAGACCCTCTTGGCACGCCGCTTGCTGTCCCGGGACAGGAGCAAAAGTCATCCCCATGCTTTTTCACCAGGGGATGCTGAGCTGTGTTCACCTTGACTGTTAATCAGAAAGCATCATCTAACATGCCCAGCGCTCTAAAGCCATGTTGTAAGATAGCGGTATCCCTTTTCTACAGCCTTATTGATGAGTAGAGTATCTTTGACAAGGAGAAAAATGAGTTCATTTCTGTCTGTGGTATGAAACGTGTGTGCTGCGAACATAAACCCACAACTTTCTTACAAAACAAACAAAACCAACAAAAAAAAAACCTGTCTGCTTTCCATACGGTCTTTCCTCAGGTGCTAAATAAGGGTTCCAAAAATGGATACTGCTTTAGGAGTTTCTGCTTTATTCTTAAAAGACCTATTTTGTTTTTGCTTAGCTGTTGTAAAGATATTTTAACAAGAATGTCGTTTGGGTTCTTTTTTTTTTATGTAAATAAGATGGTGTCTTTTTGTTTTCTCTCCTTTTTGTGTCTGTTGAATAGTCTCGTTTCCATTTTATCCTTTCGAGAAGGACCCTCTTAAGACCTTCCTTGAAGACATTTCATTAAGTGTTGCTGCATTTAAGAACGACTCTACAACTGTTCATTGTCTTGGATTAATGCTGCTGCTGCTATAAGTAACCCTGAACATCAAGAATGTGTGATGCACTTTTGTTGTTTTTCTTTTACACGACCATATAGTTCCTCTGCGAGTAGCTAAACCCTGGTGTAACACAGCCACTAACTGCGGGTAGTGTAGGAAACGGGGTCCAGGAGCGGGGTCTACCTGACTTTGGTGCTGTCCTGTGGGAACTTCTATGCAAACGCAAGCAAAGGAGAACTCTTAACTTGAGAGATCACTGTGCATTTGCCTTTTGTTGTTGTTGCTTTTTCTCTCCTTCCTTTTGTCAAGCTGCTGTTGGAAAGGGTAGCACAAATCCCTGAGGTTTTCAGCTTCTCCTTCCTGCCTGCCTGGTGGTGCGGGAAAGAGGCCCAAGTAACTTGTGAGGTGGAAGAATCTCAATCCGTGTCTTGTCTCTGGTTTTAGTACTTCTGTTTTCTAATGGAGTCTCTCTATGGAAGGAAATTGCTCATCTCTGCAAAAATATCTTCTTAAGGCTTTATCTCAATGTGAAGTTAACCAGCAGTATTAAAGATCGTGTGGCCTCTTTCCTGCCTGCACCCCTGGCAGTCCAGTCACAGGCTCCTTCTCTGGGTGCTGCAGAGTGGTTGGTGCCTGCAATTGGGTTGTTTTCCAAGACAAAAGGCCCTCTAACCAGCCAAAACCTGATGGCTGAGGTGTGAGGGAGGTCTTGCCCCATTGAGGTGCTAACACAGGGCACGAGCAGGTCTGGAACCTCTTGTCTTACTGGATCACTGCAGGGGGGATGCAACCCTGCAGGAGGAGTTCATTGGAGGGGGAAAAAAGGAATGTACTTGACTATTTATAGAAGATCCTTTAGGAAAAATAGTATCTCTAAAGTGAGGATAGAATGAGGAAGGTCTGAAGTGTAGGAAAAACGCTTGGGGATTACAACTGTCTGGAAAATAGTATATCAGTACATAGGCTAGGACTCTGCCTCTTTAATTTAGTTTGTTCAGCATCCATTAGTTCTTTCTGGGGCAGCGTTTGCTGTTTTACGCCCGTGTTTGCGTGTGTCCATCTGACTAAATGTGCCTTGCACGTGTGCTTATTCTTTCTGAAGGGAGCTGGTGGCGGTGTGTGAGCTGCTGGGACAGCTGGGCCCTATCCATATCCGAGGGTTCATTCCTGTCCCAGTGACCCATGGGAGTGATGGATTGGGCTCGAGCCTGCATTGAGCCCAGCTTGTGGTTTGGGGGTGATGTCCTGTGGGGTGGCACCTGTGAGTTTGGAGGGGGTAGAGAAAGAGAAGCTGCTTTGCTGTTCTCCCGCGGTCAAAAACAAGCATTGCAATGCTTTGCCTGCAAAGCAAGGGCCAGTGATGGTCTGCAAGTGGCTTTGCACTGGAGTTAGGGCTCTGCAGCACCAGGGATCCCATTATCCGGGGGTTTATTCCCTTCCAGGTTGTGGTTCTTGTTACTGTGGGGTTTTTCTCTTACATTTTTTTGTTGTAAAGCAGAATTAAAACACGCCTTGCTCGAAGTTAACAAAATAGGAACGCTTCTGTTTGCAGTCAGTGACTCTGAATACGAAGCTGCGCGATTCCTTGTTCCTTCATCTCTCTCCCAGCTCACCCCAGCGTGTGGTTCCTGTCCCAGTCTTTCTGTGCTCCTGCCACTGTAAATGTGAAAAGCTTGCTTGCATTATTTTCTAGAGATGCATTTTGCACACCGGGGCTTCGCCGGAGCTCCGCGATGAGGTTAGTTTGAAGCAGATGAATAAAGCTATGCACATGTTTTGAAAGTTTAATTTGTGTCTCATTGCCAGAAGTGACTTATCTGCCCTCTTTTGCATTCCTGTGCTGTCATTGCCTGCGTTCTCTTCACTGCCCTGCAGGGTCTGATGGAAGGTGACAGTTCTTTGCTGACAGCTCTAGCAGAGGACTGGCGCTTCTTGATTCTTTTTGGTAGCCTCTCCCCTCTCCTTGGCTTTCTCTGTCTCTGTAGAGCTATATAAATATATATATATTATTTTTTTATTTTAAAGAGCCTGCTTTAGTGCTTGGATCGGAGGGAGCGGGGTGTCGCTGGCCTGTGGTTCAGGTACGCTCCTAGTGTCGCATGAACGAGTGCCCCTTTATTCCTCTGGTTGAGAGCGGTCCCCGCGGGGTGTGCGGGTGGGATGGGGACGGGGAGCACACAGCTTTGAGGAGGGGATGGAGACGGAGCTGCTGGAGGCTTCTAATGACAGAGCGAGCCCTTCCGTTGTGTATTCCCACTGTGAGGTGGGGGACAGGTTTCCTCACGGTGGTCCCTGGCGCGGAGGGTGAGCTCGCGTTGGTCTCTGAGCTTCATCTGGGGTTTGTTTTCACGAGTTGGGTGCGTTGGGTTGCAGGTACCACCTTTGGAAACGTGTTGCTTAGCCAGGATACTGCTTATCCCAGAGCTTTTGCGCAGGAGAGGGGGGGTTTTGTGCCGGGAGAAGGACCCTGACCGCTTCCTCCTCCCGTTCCCTTCGCCGTGGCAGCGATTTGTACTAACTTGACAGCTTTCTTTCGTACCGAACAGGGCTGCTTTTCTATCTACCATCACACACGTGTACTTACACACCTTCAGCCTCGCTCTGGAGGTCCTCAACTTGTTTACTGGGGGGACGGGTGCCCCCCTCTGTCCCCCTCCCCTGAGTATTTCAGTGTTAAGGGCGATGCGAAACCCAACCGCGCGCTTCGCCTGTCTCCTCCCGCCTCCCCCATCCACGAGTTCTCATTTCCTTCCGTTTCCTTGTGTATTAAATTCACCACGAAGGGGTTGTGCTGAGTTACCTCTGACCCTCAGAGAGGCGCAGCCCCTCTTGGTTGTGTGCGACCACACGAGTCCGTAAAGGTAGTTTGTGTTTCCTTCTCCCTTCCTTGGTTATTCCCGATGAGGTTAATGCACTCTTGTGTGCCCAGCTGGAAAAGTGTCGGTGTTTTCCCGGTGGTGAGAGGGTGGCTGGAAGAGTTAGTGGAATTCCTGCTGTAGCTGTGTCTGGCGCAGCCCTTTGCGCTGGAATGGGTGATGTCACGGACTGTAAGGATAGGTGATGTCCATGAGCTGTAATGGCATGATGTTATCTTTACCAATGATGTCATACTTCACACTAAATGTTTAAAAAAGAAAAAAAAAAAAGAAAAAAAAAGGAAAAAAATACCTGGAATTTTGTTTATTCTGCACCAACAGGTCTTCAAAATTTATCCAAATTTTATTATTTTATCAGGAAAAAAAAACAGAAAAACAGAAATTTGTGTAGATCGAATACATTAAGACAGACAATAAGTGATGTAAATTGTTGAATAAAAGTTTTAAAGTTTGTGGGTGTCGGTGTGAGGTTCTGTTCCGCGCTGTCGGGGAGCATCCCTTCAACCGGGGATGCTGCGGCAACGGAGACTCCAGTTCTGGTCCCTTAGGGCCGGCAGCACTGGCCATGAAGGCCATGAGCAGTGCAGGTGGCTCTGTGTAGGCATGGATGCTCAGTGGGACCAGGAGCTCAGTGTCCTTTCCCTTGGCAGGGGAAGGGGAAGGGGAGGGCAGGGAGGAAGAGAAGCCCACACCAAGGGTTTGGCTGCTGTGTTTGTGTGTGTGAGAGTTGGAGTCTGGTCCCTGCTGCTGGGATGGGGATGTGTGACTGCAGTCCTGGCACACAACAGACACAAGAGGGACGTGGAGCTGTGGGAGCGAGTCCAGGGGAGCCCATGGAGATGCTGCAAGGGCTGGAGCAGCTCTGCTCTGGAGCCAGGCTGGGAGAGCTGGGCTGGGTCAGCCTGGAGAAGAGAAGGCTCCTGAAGGGGAGACCTGAGAGCAGCTCCAGTGCCTGAAGGGGCTGCAGGAAACCTGGAGAGGGGCTTGGGACAAGGGCCTGTAGGGACAGGACAAGGGGAATGGCTTGAACCTGCCAGAGGGGAGACTGAGATGAGCTCTTAGGCAGAAGCTCTTCCCTGTGAGGGTGCTGAGGCGCTGGCACAGGGTGCCCAGAGAAGCTGTGGCTGCCCCATCCCTGGCAGTGTTGAAGGCCAGGTTGGACACAGGGGCTTGGAGCAAGCTGCTCCGGTGGAAGGTGTCCCTGCCCATGGCAGGGGTTGGAACTGGGTGAGCTTTAAGGTCCCTTCCAAGCCAAACCAGTCTGGGATTCTACGAACAGCAGACACCCACCAAGCTGGTTTATCTTTTTCTTTCAGTCACATTTATTGGCAGTTGTGGCAGTCGGTACCGTTGGGGTGTGTTGTTCCATAAGCAGTTGCAGTACAAGAAGGGGTGGTTATTTCGGGAGGGGAGTATTAGCACCAAAAGGGAGCCGATGAGCTTTAGAAACCTTGCAAAGGTGTAGTGGGAAGTGGGGAGCTACTGCTGGACACGCCTGATGGATTGGATCTGGGAGGTCTGGGCGTGCGAGCCCCACTCCCTCCAGTGCTTGTAGTCTCCTCCGTGGTGGTCGGCCTCCAGGATGTACTGGTAGCCACGGTACCCGGGATACTGGTAGCAAACCCAGCTGGAAGACAAGGAGTCATCAGGCAGCCATTAAGAGGGCTGAGAGGTAAGCAAGGGGCTTATGGGGTGTCCCCCCTCCGGCTGTGGTTTGTCCCTGCTGCCCGTGGTGCTGTGCCCATCACTTACGCGCCACACGAGATCTTCATGGAGCCCACTTCGTTGTTGGCCCAGCCCATGGCCTGCAGCGAGGGGTAGTCATCAGCGATCTCCCACTGGCGGCCGATGAAGTTGTCCTTCTCGAAGATGGTGATCCTGGATTCCTTGTGGTTCTGGGGATAGAGATGGGGTGAGGGGTGCTCCCTCCCTGGCCTGGATGGGGCAGGGGGCAAGGGCTGTCCCTCCCTATGGCATTGCTTACAGGGTTTGATGGGGAGGGAGGTGCTCAGAGCCTGGGCTGTGTGGGGTTTTGTAGGGGAGGCTGTTTTTCCCAATGCCCAGCTGTGAGGAGGTGCCCAGCAGGGCGGTGCTGAGCCAGGAGGTGTCAGAGCTGTGCCACAGCTCCCATCTCAGGTGAGCTGTCCGCCAGCTCCTCACATACGGATGCCCCAAGATCCCCTTCAAAGCTTTAGACTACAGGACAGAAAGACCAAATCCTGCTGGGCATGGGGAGGGGAAGAGCTGAACCCAACCCAAGGAGCCTCTGCCATCCACAGAGCCCCTGCCATGGCTCTGTTTGCCCTTCCTGACCCCGCTCCCTTGGCCTGGAGCTATTGCCTGGGGCACTCGAATGGGATGAGGGATGGGAGGGCTCCGTGGCAGCGGGGGCACTCACAGCGGAGCAGACGGGGCGGAAGGACATGAGGCGCTCGATGTGGTAGGCGTTGCTGCCGCTCCAGGCGTCCCAGCGCGGGTACTCTCCCCTCTCCAGGATGAACTGCTGCCCGCAGAACCCGGTGTGCTCGTAACCCACCCAGCTGCGGAGACAGAGCGTGCCAGGGCCTCCTGTGCCGGCAATGGGGTCCTGCCCGCGCCTGGCACCAGGGTGCGAGGAGGAGTTGGGGTCTGGCCTCTGCCCACCCGTGGGGAGGAGAGGAAGCGGTGCTGGATGTGGCTGCCCTGCCCCTGACTGCTCTGTGGTTATGTGCACAGCTCAGCATCGCATTCGGATGCCCCAGGACAGCCTTGCTCTCAAAAAGCCTCATTTCTTGTTTCCCACAAAGCACAGCTGGAAAGACCCGAATTCCTGATGCCTTCCCCTTTCTGGCTCCCCCTCTTTGCTGAAAGTAGGCAAGGAGAGGTGAGAAGATGATGTCTTCATCCTGCAGGATGTGTTTTCCAGCCCTGGTGCTGCCCATATGAGATCCTGCCTGTCCCTGGGGCGGGGACATCCCCTTGAGAATGAGATGGAACAACTGGAGCTGAGTGGGGAGGCAGAGGCTGGGCTGGGGGCTGGAGGATGATGGCACAGGCTGTGCACACCCCAGGCTCCTGCTTTTGGGGTATGAGAGGCACAGTGAGGCCGGGGGCGGGGGCCAAGAGCCTCTTGCAACTGATCCAGACTGAGGCCCAATCCTGTGTCCCACAGTCGTGCTCCCCTGTGCAAGGTGAGCAGCCTGATTAGGAGCACGTCAACTGGAGCAGCGAGCTGATTACGGTGTGAGCATGCACGCCGCTGTAATCCCATTAGCATTACAAACCCTAAATATAGCAGCACAAATCTATCCTGTCTGCTTCCCAGCCCCAGCAGGATGCTCGCCATGGGGACCATCCTTACACACAGCGTCTGGAGCAGATCAGGACATGGCTTGTCTATGCCAGGGAAGATTCCTGTGCTCAGAGAGAAGCCCAGCCCTGCTCCAGACCCCTACCAGTGACTGGGGCAGCCCTGTGCAGGCTGTGGGAAGGCTCTGCTCTGGCCATGCAGGAAAGCAATGGGGCACTGTGGCAGCTGCGGTTGCCCAGGTGCTTGATGGGGTTACACAGGCAGGATGGGGACTAGGCTGGGCTCAAGAACCTTGCTGAGTGCTGATCTTTGCTGCATCTTTGGGCAGCATCCCCGAGGGGCACTGGTGAGCTCCAAACCTGGCTGCTCCGAGGCTGCGGGAGGGAGTTTTGGATGGTGCCAAGAGCATCCCCACTGTCCCTCTGGCCCTGCCAGGGCTGCCTGCTCTACCCTGTCAGGGTGGGGTTCTCTGTCCCTATCCTCCCCTTGCTGCAGTGCTCTGCTCCAGCCCGGCCACCCCTCACCCTGTCAACCCACCCAGGAAAAGCATCCCGTTGCCGGGTACTTACGCGCCGCACTCCACCTTCATGGAGCGGATGTTGTCGAAGCCGCACTCCATGATGTTCGGGCAGGCCGAGGTGAACTCCATCCTCTTGCCCTGGAAGTTCTCTTGGTCGTACACAGTGATCTGCAACGCAGACCGAGCTGCGCCGTTGGGCAGTGCCCGGCACCGGCCGCAGGCGGTTCAGCCCCTCTTTGAGAGGGTCGCGCTCCATCTCTGTGCCGGGATGCGGCCCCGCAGCGCCTCGGTGCCGGCCCCGCTCCGCTCTCCTGCTCACCCCAGCGGAGGTCGGCTCCCGGGGCAGCGCCGCGGTCCGGAGGGAGGAGCGGAGCCGCGCTGGCACGGGCGGGTGGCCGGGCTGCGGCTGGCGGTTCTCCCGGCCTCTGCTCCCAGCGCTCTAGGGCAAAGAGGGATAACGGGGGGGAAAGGGCCGGAGGGGGGGGGGGGGGCTGCTCCCCGGGGGCTGTGCATGATGCTCTTCTCTCCCCGAAGGCTCCAGCTCCGGTGGGGCCCATCCCATTGGTACACGAGCTTCTCCATCTCGGCTCCCTTCTCTAACTGCGTGCCCGCAGCTATTGCCAGACCCTCGGGGCTGCTCCCCGCCATCTCTGCCGTGTCCCCTGTCCCCTTTGCCCGCCTGCACTGACGGGAGGGCGAACAACAGCGTGTGGCTTTTGGGACTGCTCTAATTCCCTGGCACAGGACCACTGGTAAGAGCAGGGCTAAGAAGAGACTTATGGAAAACACCCAAGAGGGGTTTGAGCAGGCGGGAGGCACGTTCCCATAGGCAAAAGATAATGGGGACAGGGGTGCTGTCCTGCCTGTACCTCCTCCCTGCCTCACTGCCCTGCTCCTGGAGGACTGGCTTTTCCCCCTCTCCTTGTCCCCCACATGAACACAGTGAAAGGAGAGCTAGAAGGGGTGCGAGGACATACCTTCCATGGGCCCATGGGGACAGGCAGAGGGTTTGTCTGAGCCATCTTTGGTGCTGGAACGGTGTCTGGAAAGGAAGGAAAAGCCGTTGGCACTGCAGTGTGTCCCTGTGCTCCCCTGCTGCCCGCTCCTGGGGCTGGGGACAGCTCTGTGCCTGCTGCCTGCAGTGCCTTTTTGAAGGCAGCTGCCCTATTACTGGGACCAGTCACAGCGAGACCCTCTTGTTTGGCCACAAAACGGGGTTGGGGGACTCTGGAAAACACCTAAAGCATGGTGCTCCCTTCTCACTGTCGCAGTGTCCCTTTCCTTCTCCCAGCCATGGCACCGGCGTATTGTCTGGCTCCCCTTTCCCCTTCCCATCACTAGGAATAACCCCCCTGAGCTGGAGCAGGGAGCTGTGATGTGAGGCATAGTCTGCCCCGTGCCTGATGGTCTCCAACAGCCCCCCTGCCTCTTCTCCCTGCCCCAGCATCTCGGCAATGCCTCCCTTGGGAGGCACAGTGTGCTCCCATGGACAGCCCTGACCAGTGATGGGAGACGCCAACCGCTGTGCCATGGGCCGGGTGGGTACCAGGAGCGGGATACCCCATGATAGAGGGGCTCTCACCCCCTGGATGCCAGCGGGGATGTGTGAGCCTGTCTTTTGCCATGGGGAAGGGCAATGGTCCCTCTGGGTGTCTTTGGGCACCAGGCAGGAGGAAGGTGTCTGCCCGGCAGGGGCGAGGTGGGAGAGGTGCGGATCGGTCCCAGGACTCACCTAGCTCAGGCGGTTACTGCTGCTTCCCCCATGTAATGTTTGCCTACTTCAGCGGCTCGGCTTTTATAGGGTGCTGCTGGCTGGGAGCCGGTGCCAGCGTTTGCAGAGCCGTCAGCACAATGCTTGCTCTGGCATTGTCCTGCTGATCCCCGGAGATTTCAGCTGCTCATCCCCATGGGCTGAGCCACATTCTTGGGGAAAAAGAAAAAATAAAACAAATTGATAATAATAATACCCCCCCCCCCCAGTCAGGGCGGCTGTTTGCACAGATAATCTTGGCACCAATGACTCAATGCTCTGACCACTCTGGCATTTTCCAGGGGCAATGCACTGCGGTGTCACAGGGCGCTGGCTGGCACGGTGGGGATGGTGGCTTCATGGTGAGACCCTATGGGTGGTGGGCTTGGTGAGGTGTGTACCACGCACTGCCATTGCCTTGGTGGGTCTCCACCTCCGTGTTGGTGTGGACACCCCCCACCCTCACTGTGGCTCTGTGGTGGGTAAGGGGGGCTGTGATGCTGCTTATCCCTGCTGGTGTGGTGGGGTCTCCCATGGCCACAGCGAGCCCTGGTGCTGCCCCCCGCTTCCACACATCCCTGTCCCCATGGCTGGGGATGGAGCCGCCATGGGCTTGGGAAGCCTCAGGCCTGTGGTAACCATGGCAACGAGGCACCGCTAGGCCCCAGGCCTCATGGTAACCATGACAACCAGGTCCTGGCGGTCCAACACCCTCCTTCTCCCTTCCCTTCGGTGGGGCTCCCCCAGGCAATGGCGGGGTTAGACCTGGGGTGCCATGGCAGGCAGAGGCCTCAGGATACCGTGGTGGGGCAGACCCCCAGGTACCATGGCAGGGCAAAGGCCCCAGCGTCCCATGGTGGGCACTGGCCCTGGGGTGCCATGGTGGGTACAAGCCCTAGTGTGCCATGATGGGGCAGTCCCAAGGTGCCACGGCAGGCATAGACCCCAGGGTGCATGGTGGTGCAGATGGTGAGCACAGACCTAGGTTGCCATGGTGGGCACAGCCCCTGGGTGCCATGGAGGGCACAGCCCCTGGGTGCCATGGTGGGCACAGCCCCTGGGTGCCATGGAGGGCACAGTCCCTGGGTGCCATGGTGGGCACAGCCCCTGGGCGCCATGGAGGGCACAGCCCCTGGGCGCCATGGAGGGCACAGTCCCTGGGTGCCATGGAGGGCACAGTCTCTGGGTGCCATGGAGGGCACAGCCTCTGGGTGCCATGGTGGGCACAGCCCCTGGGTGCCATGGAGGGCACAGTCCCTGGGTGCCATGGTGGGCACAGTGCCTGGGTGCCATGGTGGGCACAGTGCCTGGGTGCCATGGTGAGCACAGACCTAGGTTGCCATGGTGGGCACAGCCCCTGGGTGCCATGGTGGGCACAGCCCCTGGGTGCCATGGTGGGCACAGCCCCTGGGTGCCATGGAGGGCACAGCCTCTGGGTGCCATGGAGGGCACAGTCCCTGGGTGCCATGGTGGGCACAGTCCCTGGGTGCCATGGTGGGCACAGCCCCTGGGTGCCATGGAGGGCACAGTCCCTGGGTGCCATGGAGGGCACAGTCTCTGGGTGCCATGGAGGGCACAGCCCCTGGGTGCCATGGAGGGCACAGTCTCTGGGTGCCATGGTGGGCACAGCCCCTGGGTGCCATGGAGGGCACAGTCCCTGGGTGCCATGGAGGGCACAGCCCCTGGGTGCCATGGAGGGCACAGCCCCTGGGTGCCATGGAGGGCACAGTCCCTGGGTGCCATGGTGGGCACAGTGCCTGGGTGCCATGGTGGGCACAGTGCCTGGGTGCCATGGTGAGCACAGACCTAGGTTGCCATGGTGGGCACAGTCCCTGGGTGCCATGGTGGGCACAGCCCCTGGGCGCCATGGAGGGCACAGCCCCTGGGTGCCATGGTGGGCACAGCCCCTGGGCGCCATGGAGGGCACAGTCCCTGGGTGCCATGGTGGGCACAGTGCCTGGGTGCCATGGTGGGCACAGTGCCTGGGTGCCATGGTGAGCACAGACCTAGGTTGCCATGGTGGGCACAGCCCCTGGGTGCCATGGAGGGCACAGCCCCTGGGTGCCATGGTGAGCGCAGACCTAGGTTGCCATGGAGGGCACAGCCCCTGGGTGCCATGGTGGGCACAGTCCCTGGGTGCCATGGAGGGCACAGCCCCTGGGTGCCATGGTGCTGGGCACAGGCCCGGTCCCTGCCGGGTCACGAGGCGAGCGTGGCGGCGGGGGCTGCTGCCTCAGCGCATGGCTGCCAGCACAATCACAGCCCGCGTCTGACTGCGCCTTTTGTCTCCCCACCGGGCAGCGGCACAAAGCAAAGCGCCCTGTCAGCGCTGCCCGCGGCACGGCTGGCGCCCGGCCCGGGGGACCCTGCCGGGGCCCTGCTGCAGCGATGGCACCGGCCCAGCGCTGCCCACAGCGGGGACAGTGAGGTATTGGGGTACAGGGCACCGCCACGGTTGGGGGAAGCCTCGGTGCAGGCTTTTCCTATCGCTGGCTGCTGCGCTGGGTGATGGAGGTGATGGAGATGTGGTTGGCAAAGGCAGAGCTGTGGGGCTGAGGCTGTGCACCGACCCCTTGGGCACGGTGGCTGAGCAGCAACCGTGGGGCAGGGAAAAGGAGGAGCAGGGCAACCTGCGCTCCGAACGTGGGGCTGCTGGTGGGAATGGTCCCGTGAGACCACTGGGTCCCACCCCTGCGCACCCCGCTGCGTGCATCCCGGCTGCCAGGGGATGGAGCTCGTCCCCTCGCTCCCTGCGGACCCTGGACCACGGCCTGGCCGCCCCGGTGCGCGGAGGCTTTGGCAGGAGCCGCTAGAGGGAGAGCTCGCCCCGAGCAGGCTGCGGGCCCGGCGCATGCGGGAGCGCCGCGCGGTGCTGCCCGGCTCGGCCCCGTGCCCCCAGCGAGGGCACCGGCTCCCCGCTAAGGGAAACCGCTGCCGGTAGCTTCAGTCAGTGCCTGGAGCTGCCCACAGCCGGGAGCAGGGAATGGGGAGCCCCTGCGCACCCCACATCGGGCACGGCCGGGGATGGTCACCCTCGGCGGAGAACGGGACCCCAGTGTGCGGCTTAAGCTCCCCAGGTGCTCTCCCTGCTCACCCCAAGCAGTGCTGGCGGGACAGGTCCCCCCTGCAAGGACCGGCAGTGGGTGCCTGGGGAGCACGGCTGCGGCGGTGCTGGCAGCTCCTCGGGGTGTCCGGAACAACTGGTTTTTCTAGATCCCAGAGACTATAAAAAAGCAGTGACCTATTTAGGAAACCCCGCGGTGCTGAGAAACAGATGATTCCCTCCCAGCCCGGCTCTGGGCCCTCAATGCTCCAGCCGACCATCTGCCGGGGCACCGGAGCTCCGTCCTGCTTCTCTATAGGATGCTTGGGGCAACACGGAGACCCTATGCCCCCAACCTGGGCATAGGGTGCCTGTAACCCCCCCCCCCATACCAAGACAGAGATGCTCAGGGTGCCGCGGTCCCAGGAGAGAGGCTGATGAGGGTGGATGGGATCTTACAGACACCTTGCTGGGAAGCACGGAGGTGTTTAGCCCTGTGGAAGAGGCAGGCGGGTGGCACCACCGGGTGACTGCTTGTGGCAGGGCTGTGTCACACCGGAGACCCCAACACTCGGCAGCTCCAGCCGGCGTCACCCCGCCACCGCCTGCCCTGCATGATAAGGAAGCAGGAGCTGCCGCAGGCTGTGACCGGCTGTTCACCCGCCTGTGCTGGGCAGAGGGGCAGTCACACAATGTGTTCCCAAACCAATGCAGCTGGGAACCCCCCCTGGCAGCTGAGCCAGGGCTCTGCCCCCGCTCCAGCTCATCAGTTCCCATCCCTGCTCCCCAGACGCTGTGGTTCCCTGCGCTTGGCACCACGTGCCTGGGACAAAGGGAAGTGTGACAAAAGCAGGCGGCTGCGCTTGCTGCCGCCGTCCTCTGCGCTGCAAGAGCTGCATCTCCTCCTGCACCGCGTCCTGCAGCACAGGGCCCGCAGCAGCGCCCTTCATATGGCCCCCAGCTCGTTCCCACACACGTGCCGCTCTGCTGCTGTGTCCTGGGCACGTGCTATGGGCCCAGTGCTGCAAGGAATGGGGCTTGTGACACGCAGCAAGTGTGTCCTAAGAGTGGGGTGAACCTGGTGCTACTCCCAGTGCACAAGGGATGACAGGAGCCTGGCAGGGCTCAGCCTCTTGCTAGCACACAGCCCAGCACGGCTGCTCAGCAAGGGAAGGTGGTGAGGCTGTTGCATTTGTGGCCTAATAGCAGGAGAGCCAGGACCACACAGCTCAGTCCAGCTCAGCCTCCCATGGATGGTGGTTGGAGTTTGGAGTCCTCTGGATGCCTCAGGGCAGGGCAGGAGCCATGGGGGTGGCAGGGGTGGTGCTGGGGAAGACCCCTGTGCCCATAGCTTACTCTGTCCATCTGGGGCTTTCCAGCAGAGGTGATGGGCACCCCGAAAAGAGCTTTTGGGAAGAGCTCGTGGATGCCCATCTCTGGGGTCTCTGTGCCCCAAAGCCCTGCTGGGTCACCCACGTCCCTTGAGGTGGCCTGGCTGCTTGCGATGGCAAGGGAGCTTGTCTCAGCTCAGAGACTGCAGGGCTTGTCCTGAAACCCCTCTGCCCCAGGACAGGTGGTGGTTGTAGGGTCCGCAGGGTTTTAGCTGTATCTGAGTGACCCCAGTGTGATGTCCCAGCGCTAGACAAGAGTGGAAGGACTGTAACAAAGGCTCTGCTGGGTGATGCTCATCGTTCATCAACGCGCTGTCTCCCGGCCAAGGCACCATCCTGGTCTGCTCACAGCCCTCCCTGCGGACAAGCAGCGTGGGCAGGGAAGCACGGGGAGAAGCACCGGCCACAACGTCCTGCTTTGTATTCCTGCCAACGGGCACCAGCCACCGTGCACCGGATCAGGCTCTGCTCCCTGCAGGATCCTCCCGAGGAGGGGAACCCACCCTGGTGCGATGCACAGGGCTGTGTTCATCATCACTCGACGTGCTCACACCGTTTCCAGCGTGTGCTGGGTTGGGCTCCCGGCCCCGCACCGGCCAGTGGCCACCCGCACGGTGCTATAGCGGTGGCCGCTGATGCGGGTGGCCAGGACGCCCTTTACCGTCCCGAGCCGTTCCGTTCCGTTCCGTTCCGTGAGCAGCGGCGCGCGCACAGCCGGCAGTGCCCGCCCCGGTGCGGATCCGCCCCGCCCCGCGCCGCCGCCGCCGGGGCCCGGCACCACCGCCGCCACCACCAGCCCCGGGCCCCGCAACGCCGCCGCCGCCACCGGTGAGTACCCGCCGCAGCCCCCGACACCGGTACCGGTACCAGAACCAAAGCCGGCCCCGGCGCAGGGCACGCACCGCACCGCACCGCACCGCGCCGTGCGGGGCCGGGGCCGTCTGCATCACACCCCCTCCTCCCCCGGTGGAGCGGAGCGGAGCGGGCTGTGCTCCCCCGGTGCACAACCGGGGTGTGCGCGGGTGCCCGTGTGTCCCGTGTCCCCCTCCCCGGT